TGGTCACTCACACTCCTCATCAGTGCTAACTAATGGCACTCACCCCAAATGCCTGTTTAAGGCTACACAGGGGATCGTTGTCTTTTATGCGCGCGTGTTACGCGTGACGTGGACCGCTCGGATATCGAATCAATCAGCGCTCCCTATGTCTCGAGGGAACATATTTAACAATCATCGTGCGCGTTCAGCGTGCACGATCCACATGTGAAGGAAGGCGACTGGCAACCACGTGGAGCGACGAGTCCGTGGCAGATCTCGAGGACTGGAATTTGAGAACTCCCCCCTTTAAAATGGAGACCCCCTTCACACCCCCCCCCCTTCCTCTTCACCCCGAATCCATCAACCTCGCTCTCAGCTCCATCCTGATCACCCCCCACCCAACTCACTTCTAACTCTCATCACCCTCTCAACACCCCCCGCCCTGCCCCCTACTCCATACGCGTGTCTTTCCCCAGCACCATCTCCGGACGCTACTGACGCCGCTCTGGCTGACCGACGCTGTCACATTCATCACGGGGCCCCGTGGTGTCCATCACACCGAGGGCACTGGGCCGGCAGCGAGCGCGCCCAGCGCCGCCCATTTGTCAGCACGCCCCTCACCCCCGCCGCTTCACCCCCCCCCCTCCCCCGCGGCGCCCGCATTTGTTTGCTTTACCTTGACGCTGACGAATGCGCACGTTTTGACCACTTTAAATCGATGCCCCCCCCCCTACCAACCCAACCTGGATCATAAGTCAATTTTCAAGGCGGTGGTGGTGTTGGTGTTGGCTCTGTCGGTGATGACGGTGGTAGTGGTGCTGGAGCTAGCGGTAATAGTGGTAGGTAGCGGCAGTTGTAGAGACGGTGATGGTAGTGACCGTGGTGGTGGTGGTGGCGATGGCGGGCAGCAGGAAATACTCCGTGTCGCTGCCAGTGGACGCGGTGTCCACTGCGGGCACACTCCCCGTTACCTAACAGCAGGTGAGAGCGTAGAGAGGGAGAGTGGGGAGAGAGCGGAGAGAGTAAGGAGAGAGAGGGGGAAGTGAAACCGTGGAAGGGAAGGGTGGGGAGAGAGAGCCTGGAGAGAGACAGCGGAGAGAGCGTGAAGAGAGAGAGAGAGAGGCGGTGGAGATAGAGTGGGGGAAGTGGATAGCGTGCGGAGAGAGAGTGGATCGAGAATAGATAGAGTGGAGAGAGAGAGTGGAAATATTGAGTGTGGAGAGAGAGAGGGTGGGGAGATCGTGGAGAGCAAAAGGGGGAGCGCCGTCCTTCCCCGCACTCCCTAATTAACGCAGCGAGACGGTGTTCATTGTGGGAGCAATCTTCTTCCTGTTGAATTTCCACAATTGCGGCCAGTAATTGCATCTATAACTACCCCAGGGAATTAACACTTATGCATGTAAATAAATAAAATAGCCATATTTATTTATCTATATATTGAAGATATTTCAATGTCTACCCTCCCCGTCAGGAGGGACGCGGATCTGCAGATGTGATCCACGGTGGCCCCTCGGCTCTCATGCCACTCACCCATCATACATTGCGAAAGCAATGACGTCACCCGTTTACCCAGGGCAGCTCTGCTGAGTCTCAAGACTCTTCTGCAGGAGGCCCCTGCTATGGAAAATAAAAGCTGGCGTCCCTAACGGTTGGGTCTCCGAAGTGGTCTACCGCCTGCTCACCCCAACACACCCAAGGGGCGGAGGCGGCCCCCAGGTGTCGAGACGACGGAATAACTACAAGGCCACTCACCCACTTGCTGTCCTGCAATCCGCTGGCCACGTCGCAGGCCAGCGTGCTCGAGAGTTTTACGTGTCGCTCCGTGCGTGGTCCACCGACCCTTGCCCCTGTGAAGCGCGATACCACACGCGTGCGCCACCACTGTGCGTTCAAAGCGGTGGACTCGTGAACTCTTGACCTTTTGATTTATGCTGGAGTACTGGACCCAGCTGCTTCAGCGCCTCTCAAAGTCCAAACCCCCGCTTTCCCCCCCGCCCTCCTTTGTGTACCCCCCCCACCAGCCTCCGCCCCCCCCCCTCCCCATTCCCACCTACCCCCCCTAACTGCCCCCTGAGGTATATTATTTTAAAATCGCCAATATCTCGGATACAAATGTCAAATGGGTCGCGTGACCTCTGCACGTGGCCCGGGCTGCAGGCTAAGTGGCTTTGCATTCTTAAGAGCTCCGCTCCACGTTAAGTTGGATGGCATCACATTCTTTATTCATCGTCGTCATCATCGGGCATGGCAAGTCCACTGCTGGATGAGACAATTAATCGAATCGCCCGGAGGGTGAATCTTTACAATACTAATCTTGCCTCCAGAGTTTTTCGTGAATTGATCACTGTGTACATATTGTCTGACGTCGCAGTGACGTCAGGTAGTACTATAATGGTGCGCTTGACAGTGACGTCAGTTTTTTTTTGGGGGGGGGGGGGTAGCAACTGAGACTTACGTGGACGTGTGGCGACGGCTGAGTTAGGGCCTTCATCCAGCAGTCGATTGATCATGGCTGATGGTGATGATGGTGGACACGTGTGTTTAGAGCGTTGTAGCAACAATAAAAAGGGTCTTGTTGTTTTGTTTGGGTCACGTGCCCCCCCCCCCCCCCCCCCCCCCCACGTGGCCTAAAGACTTACCCGACACGCGTGCATGTCTTAGTTTGATAAAAGCCCATCACGTGATTGATGCAGATAATGCTTTAATGTGACGCGCATTACTCAATCAGTCACAGTGACAGACGTGTCACTTTCTGTATTAGCGCTGCAGGGCATGGGGGGGGGGGGGGGTCAGAGTGGGAATGAAGGAGGGGGGGGGCCGTCAACCTAGATTGCGGGAGAGGCGATGTGGTGGGGGTGCAGGAGCTGAGAGCTGCCAAACTGCATCAGAGGAGCACTATTTGCTGCGCGTCCTTCCCGGTGGATTGTGGGTAATGAAAATGTTCAGATGATGGCCAGATTATGGTTTTTGTTTAATGGGACCTCCTTTGCCAGTAACAGAATATGACAATAGGCTTTCCCCTTTTTTGTGGCAACAAAACAGGTGTTAAGATGTTAAGACACCAAATTGAAACCTTTTACAAGGAATCATGTCTACATTAACCACAATACTTGTGTTCAGAATGAATGCAAGCGAATGCATTCTGACCACAAGCATTGTGGTTAATGTAGACATGATTCCTTGTAAAATGTTTCAGTTTGGTGTTTTAACATCTTAACACCTGTTTTGTTGCCAGAAAAAAGGGGAAAACCTATTTTCATGGTTGTTGTTATTGTTGACGAAAGTGGTTTTCAGCGGGCGACGCGCCGCAAGAAGGGACCGGTGGCCAGTGGTCGAGAGGAACGTGTGATGCATGTAATGCACGTTGAACTTCTTTCGCACCGTACATAGCCGTCCGCGCCAATCGGAAGGTTGCTGAGCCGCAGCCACAGAAGGCAGCTGCGGACTTTTACAATTTAGACGTCCTTCTCATAACACATCTGGGGGCGGGGGGGTGATGGGGCATTCACTAATTGTCATATCAGCACCTCACCCCCCCCCCCCCCCCCGCGGACGTGGATTACGGCTCGCAGAGAGGTGGAACTATAAGCAGACAATCGAGACAGAGTATTACACGAGCAGAGGAATTTAAAGTAGACCTCTCGAAGCAAAACAAGGAATAATCATACTTCCCGAGAATTGTGCAGAACCGCGTTCTCTCACAGAGATTAACCCCCCCCCCCTCACCTCCTCGTGATAACTAACATTTTCAACAGCCAATCAAAAAACATGTCTACTAATTGTTATTGTTTACAAATGCACTATTGTACAAGATTTGTACAAACTTCGCAATGCGGGGCCCCCTCATCCGCATGGCAGTCTTGAGAAAGATGCAGCTGCATTTTAATAAAATGCCATCGCATGATTGTTAGGCATGATGACACCTTGGGAAGACCTACATCCAGCAATTAATTTATCACGTGTGGTGGTGACGATAAAGCAAAATTATAAAATAAATAAAGAGACGAGGCGACATACAAATCGGGGAAATATTATTTTATCCACTATTGGATCACGACGCTGAATGTGGCTCAAGGATGGAGGCTCAGGCAAGGCAGACGCCACGTGGAAAAACAATTAGTGGGCAAAAGAATAATTCAACAAACGCCTCCCGCCTCACCCCTCCACCCAATCCCCCACCCACCACATCGGCGTCGTCCTGAAAAGTCGCGCAGTGCAAATCCCGTCACTGTTCATCAGCGCCAGGGTGCAATCTATTACCAATGAGTTCCACCCATCACTCCTTAATTGTAAAATCAATCGATTGTCTTCAGCGCGGTCAGTGGTCCCTGTTACATTTTTGTTGTTGTTGAAGAATAGCTCTACTGGTTGCTCAGTCATAACAACAATTTACAGCCCTGTATTCATCTTCTGCCGGACGCAAGCCTTCCCCGCACCGTGTCGCTCACTGGCCCTGTTTGATCAGCGCGGGTTGGCGTAGGGGAGCGTTATCCCAGGGATCTTTTCAGAAATCACTCGCAGCTCATGTTAGCCGTGGCTGGGAATTAAATTCAGGCGACTGGGTTCATCAGCACGATGTGGCGGAAACCGCTGTGCCACCCATCCCACGCCTGTTGTTCAATGCGATCAATTAAACATCTCTGTTAGGTAAAAATATTATTATGAAACTGTGTATTAAATGCCCTGTGTCGCCTCTGTCCACCCAGCAGAGTAAAATGGCTGCACCACAGTCAATGGGAAGGTCTCTTCATAATCAGAATATTTATACTGGAGGAATTCGATTAGCTATAAATATTTTTTTCACAGACGTCCAGTTTTGGAGTAAAGTGGTGGGGGTAAAGTGTGGGTGACTTCCACTTCTTACAAAACGTCTGGCAAATATATAAGCGCAGGCCAAATACACTTCTATAGCGGCCTCTCGTGGAGGCCCCTTCTACCAGCAATGGCGTGAGTGAGCAATTGCAGGGCTGCGCCTTTATCCAAACCATGTATCAGCAAACAGACACGAGTTGGCCACCAGGTAAAGTGTTTTTTTCCAGTTTATTGCCACAGAATCACACCTCTCACTGGTTTAGATACACCCAGTATATACACGCACACACACTCGCACACACACACATGTACGCACACACACACACATGTACGCACACTCGCGCACGCACGCACACCAACAACAGCAAATGTCAGGGCTCCAAACTAAACCAGAGGTGGCCCACGTAGGAGACGGAGATAGAAGAAGGACGAGGAAAAAATGAAACAAATTAAAACTGGAAGACTTAAATAACCATTATTACTTATTAATCATCACCGAAGTGTCTGCCAAGCTAAACAGCAAAGAGCTTAGCCCAGTCCTCAATTCCAAGTTAAATATGCTATGATCAATTCTCGGCTATGTACAGATATGGACTGAAGTTCCTTCGTTAATTCTTTAGTCTCATTTAAATGTATTTTTTATATATTTTTTTCCGGGTGGGTATTAAAAATCACTTCAAACTTTTTTTACGTTATTTATGACACTTTTCATCTTTAAATCCCGAGCCACCAGCTTGCCCGCAGAATACAGCAGTAAACATCAGTAAGATTGTTGTTGTTGTTGTCATCATATGTGCACGTATATATCAAACATACATAAATGCACATACGAATGCAAATGCGCCGCGGGGTATTTGCTCGAGGACGTTCCCGCGGGTCATGCGCCCGTCCGTCACAGGGATAAATAAACAAGCGCTGCCTGCCCCTTTGTTGGCGTGGCCTCCGTATCGATGGAGGGGCCCTCCCGAGCGACGCGCGACTCCTGACAGCACAACAAGGAGACGCGTCAGTCAGCGGTGGAGCGGCAGCGAGCAGGAGCTGCCTCCCCATCACAGTGACAAGTGACCTCTGCCACTTCTCCCCAACCCCCACCACCACCACCCCACTCTCCTACAGATTTAATGCATGGCCCCCCCACCAGCAATCAGATAACTCCAGAGTGAAGGCGCCGCACCTATCAGAAACCTACAGATCACAGGGTCTGCCACCTATAAGATACCTGCGGGGTATACCCACCGATCAGAAAGGCACAGATTTCAGGTGGACTTGTTCGTAACGTGCCCATTATAAACAGCACCGGGGGTTATTTATTTAAACTGCCACTGAGCGGAGAGGACGGTCGCGATTGCTTCGCCGCAGGAGCCGGGAACCGCTCACATCATCCCGGCCCTGGGGGTCCTCGCCACCCGCAGCCGAACGCGAATTCAATTAATCATTAAAACCCTTCCTAATTTTCTTATCTGAGAAAAATGCAAATTGATGTAAAAAAATGTTTCATAGAGAGAAAAAAAACCTAGCACGTGGTGACGATGGCGGTGGTTGTCGGGGGAGGGGGGGGGGTCTGCGATGGGCCGCTAGCAACAGCGCAAAGCTCCAATCGGAGACCGGCCTCGGTGGCGCCAAGACATCGGCTTGGTACATCGGTTGTGGCGGCGGATCGTCCAAGCGGCGCTCCGAGACGTCAAACCCCCCCCCCCCCCCCCCCCGAGCGCTCGCTCGGGCGCCACGGCTCCCACCGGGTAGCTCGCCGGAGCGAGACGACGCACCAGAGGAGCCGCTTTTATTTCAATCGTCCCCGCTGCGCTCGCAGCTGGGTTGCCACGTCGTTCGCCGCGCCAACCGAACCGCTCGCCGTGTTGTGGCCGCTCCTGCCGATGGGCAGTCGGACAGCTCTCGCGTTTCATCCCCTTCGACCGGGTCGGCGCTCACGTTTGTCTCCTACCCCGTCCCTCGCGACGCGCTGTCCGCGCTGCCAGACAGCCCCGTTTTGCTCCGTGGGGGCAAGACTCGCCCTCGAGGGCACGGAGGTCACACGCGGTGGGGGGGGGGGGGGGGGGGTTGCGCTCTCCTTTCGATCCTCGTCTTCCTGACGAGGGCACAAGCTGGCTTGCCAACTCTGCAAAAAAATAAAAAGGCTCGCGAATGTAATCATTCCGCGGGGGTAATTGCACACCCAAAACAAGCGGGGGCCTGCCGGGCCGCTCAACGACGTGCCAATTACGGGGAAAGCGCGGGGGGGGGGGGGGGATTGGGGATTTGCCGCAACGCGCAAATGCAATCGTTCGCTAAATTGGAGGGCCCCGGCATTGGCTTGACGCCGTTTTTAATTTTACAATTCGCTTAATCCGGCGACGCGCGAAATTCGCTCGCGTTGTTTCAAGGAATTAATTGGCGCGGCCTTTATTCACGCACGCGTTCATATATATATTTTTATTTTCTTGGGGCGACCCTGAAAAGGACTCGTGAGAAACGCCCGCAAAGGCCGACCTCGAGCGCGGCCGCCGCAGCTCGGCGTTGCTGGTGGCTCTTGGAGCCCCCAACCCCCTCCCCGTCATCCATCGTGCGTTCACGGTTTGTCGTCCGAAAGGAAAGGAAGAGCAACGCAAACGACGCGTTTTCGCGTTTTTTTTTAAATAAACTAAAAAAAAGGAAAAACCAGCCGGTGTATCAAAAATGCATCCTACGTTTTTTTTTTAATACATATAAAAACCTATTGTCACTGCCGTTCCTTCCCCTCGAGATCCACACTCTCTCTCTCTCAATGGTGCACCAGGGGGGCAGGGAGGGGGAGATAAGCTCCCCACTATCCCGTCAGGAAACAGGCTGTCTGCCTGCGCATGTTTCGTCACAGAAGCCAGAATCTCAATTAAATAACAAAATTTCATTTGCTTGTTTTTTCCCCCCCCTTCCTTAAACTGGCCTTTGCGATTATTTATCATCGTTATCATTATTATTACGATTTAGCATTTCCGTTCATTAAAAAAACGTTTCGAGGCAGTATCGAAAAAAATCAAGCGTTTCTAAATTGACGTTTCGATTTCAATCGTAGAACGTGGAAAATATTCGGCGCTCTCGTCTCCTTTTGTCCGAGCAAAATTCTGCCCGAGCATTCTCTGGCGGCGGCTGCTGCTGCTGCTGCTGCTGCGACGGGGGTCAGGGGCGTGCGATCTCGCGGCTTGGCTAGCGGCGATCACGACCACCGCGGTGCCGACGACCGCGACGGCAGCGGAGATCGTGGCCGCGGTGGCGATGGCCGTGATGGCCGCGACGGCGATCCTGACCAGTTTATTTTGTCTGCGAAGTGTCTTCCACCCTAAACCCCGCACATTCACTCTGCGGCTGCTGCGGCGGCCGTGTTAGAGGCGGCGGGCGCGTGCCTCGTGTGTACATCGTGTACATCGTGTACATCGTGTAACAATGAACTTCGTTGTCGCGTCGACAGCTCTGTAAACATGAAATAAGAAAGGATTTCCAGGAACGGAGTAAAAATAAAAATAAAATCAAAACACAACACAAACCAGAAAATAAAAACAAAAAAAAAATGGCTGCATCTTATACAGTGCATAGTTGTAACAAAGTTATTATTATTATTTTAGAATATATCATACAGATAAAAATACTTAATTTATTTACCATTTAAATCTGCAATTAACAAAATTCCACAGGTAACCGCGTGGCTTGTGACAGCGCTGGGGGGGAGGAAAAAAAAAACCTTTTCAAAAATCCCAACATCCCCCCCAACCCCCACGATGGGGGGGGGGGGTGGGGGGCGAGGAGGGAGGGGGGGGGGGTCGATTGCGCAATCCCAACGACTTTGTGCGCTCCAGGAACCCCCTCCCCGATCCGCCGCTCACCGCCTGTTCGCTGGCTCGGGCCGTGGATCTCCGGGGGCGGTAGCGACGACAGGGGCGGCGGATGGGGGGGGGGGGGGGCATCATTCTCTGGGTCCTCGCACCTCTTCACAATTCCTGAGCGCAGACCAAGTGCACCCCCCGCCCCCCGCACCGCCCCCACCTCGTTTTGGCGGCGACCGGACGCAACGTGGCGTACGCGCCACGCCTCGTCATTAAATCGACAACTTCCCTTCAATACAAGCCCCGGATATATATATATATTTTGTTTCATTCTCTTTAATTACTGGCACCTAAATAAATGTACTGCAACATATCTGTAAACTTTAGTCTTCTCTTAGTATATTGTAGTGTAAAGCAGATTTCTTCGCCGCTGTCCAACGCTCGACGGCGAGGCGATCGTCCACCCGCGGGGGCGACGGCGAGGCGATTGTCCACCCGCGGGGCGACGGCGAGGCGATTGTCCACCCATGGGGCGACGGCGAGGCGATTGTCCACCTTCGGCCGTTTTCCACGCCGTTCAACCCCGGCGCCTTCAGGTTCCGGGCGGTCATTGGTCAAATCGACGGCGTTTGTCGTTTGTATTCTGCAGCGCGGTGCCCTCGAACGGAGCGTGGAGGTGTGGTGGCACGAGGCCCTCCGCGGGGAGGGTAGCGGGGGGCGGAGGCGACGGAGGCGGGGCTGGGGGGGTGGAGGAGGAGGGCGGCCCTGCCATCGCCGCAGAGACGGTTGCTGGGAGACGATTTGCCGAAGACGGTTTGCCGGGAGACGGTTTGCCGGGAGACGGTTTGCCGGGAGACGGTTTGCCGTGGCGCCGAGAGACGCGTTACCTGCGCAGGCTGCACTGGGCCTCGCGGAGCAGGCTGTCAAAGTCCATGGTGTCGTATTTGCTCTTGGAGGCGGTCGGATCAAAGTCGTCCGTGGTGGGGTCTGCGGCCAGAGAGGCGGAGAAACAATGCAGACAATGAGTACCACCCCTCCATTGAGTACCACCTTCTTCTGAGTACCACCTTTTTCTGAGTGCCACCTTCCACTGAGTATCACATTCTACCGAGTACCACAATCTAATGAGTGCCACCTTCTAATACGTACCACTTAATGAGAATCATCTTATATTGAGCAACACATTCTAATGAGTACCACCTAACGAGTACAACCTTTAATTGAATACCACGTTCTAATGAGTACCACCTTCCATTCTAGCATATCATGGCGATGAATACGCACAAGTGTATGTGTGTGTGCACGGGGAGAAGCAACGTAGCAGTTCGCGCGCTGCGCTACGAACCCAGCAAACAGTGACGATTATCTGAACCGATCCTGGGCTTTCTCTAGGTCGACTCAGCCTCAAATGAGTACCTGGTGCTGTGTGTAAACATCGGCACCGAAGAGACAAAGGCAGCCAGGCACGATTCTCCTCGTGTGCTGTGCTGGCCTTCAGCAGTGCTCGCGAACAGCGCTTGCCCCAAAAGGTTTATGGAGGCTAAAACGGGGGATCTTTGTCTTGTGTTTGTGTACGGGGGGGGGGGGGGGGGGGGCGTGTCCACGGACCCAGGTCGGTGTAGCCGGTGCGGCAGGAGAGGCGGCGTCCACCGTAGCCGATGTCGAGGTGGCACTCGCCGGGCCGGCTCAGCGTGTGGCCGCTCTGCACGGCGGCGCAAGCGTCGCACGTGAAGCGGAACGTCAGGAACGCGTAGCTCTCGCTGCGCGGAGCGGTGCCAGCACGAGAGGGCAAGGCGAGACAGAGCGGGACGGAGAGAGAGAGGGAGAGGAGGTAAATTCACGCTGTCTCCACATTCAGAACCCGCCTGCCGGACAGTTCGATGGCTCGCCGTGCCATTTGGCTGGCCATTGAGCAAAGACGGTCATTGCATTGAGAGCTGTCAGATGTGCTCCTGTAGCCATCTGGAACTGTCTTCCTTCCGATATTAGGAGGCCACTGGGAGCTAATCAGTTTTAAATCGAGATTGAAAACCCATTTCTTTATAACTGATTTTTGTGTGAAGTTTGTTGTCTTTTCCTGCACCTCCGATTTTAGCATGGTTGGCTACGTACGGTGCGAAATAAGTTCAGCATACATACAGCTCAACCCCACGAGCCAGGAATCGCATATGTGTAGGAATCCATTATTCTACATCGATAAATATGTTTAACAGTACAGCCGACTGCTGGATGAAGGCGTTAACCCCCTGCCTTGAAAGTTCCTAACAGCGCATCCAACGTGGAGACGGACCGATGAAAATCGTCTCGTGCGCACGAGCCGGACGAATCGTTGCATCGCGACACCGCAAGAAATGGCGACGGTCCGGGGATGGGTTCGTCCACCAGTGGATAGATCATGGCTGTTCTGTTGCTGACGATTGGTGGTTGTGTGTGTGCGCGCGCGCGCGCGTGGGCTCACCCATTGTCCTTAAGGTTGATGACGCACTCCTCAATGTCCCCAAACACCTCGAACCTCTTCTGCAGGTCGGATCGCGACAGGTCCGACGGCAGCCGCCCCACGTGCACCACGCGCCTCTCCTCCTGCCGCGGCACGGTGGTCACGTGACAGGTCAGGTCACAGGTCAGGTCACATGACAGCGGTCATGTGGGTCCCAACAAGGGATGTTGCAGTGCACCGAATTATCGATTGTTATGCTCACGATGTACCCAGCGCATCGTGCATGAGACTTGGTTCAGATTGTGTATGTGTGTGTGTGCATGCGTGTGTGTGAACGGAAACCCTGCAGCCGATAGCGTGTTTCTACGAATTGCAACGGTAAAAACTGAATATTTATGAAGTCTTGAATCGAGTTACGGCCGCTGAATCATGACGACCTGTCGAGCTGCGAGAGGGGTCGGTCGCTAACGGGCCCAGTCGCGACCGGTCACAGCGCTGCTCATGATGCAGAGCCGATAAGGTCGCAGTGTAAGTGACGAAAAGGTCACGACCAGTCAGGTCAAGATGAAGGTCGTGACGAAGGTGAGAATTTCTTGTGAGACTGTGTGTGAAAGGACGCTATACTCGTGCGTAAAACGAATGTGCGGGCCGGATGTTCCTTTGAAGATTGAAAGTCGTCTACAAATTATATATATATTCCCACCATGGAGAAGAAGCAAATGATGTACAGCCCGTGTGTAGGTACGACGTAGATCGCTGCACGAAAGACCACGAAAGATCTGGTGACAGCTTCGGGAGGATAGATTATGGCTGGTATTGATGACAATGAAGATGATCAGCAGCAGCGCATTGCACTGTAATTGTTGTCATAATTCGAGAATGCGCCCCAAGGTTCAATTTGCTGTTACGTGACAGGGCTCTAATTCCCGCCTGTTCGGTCTCGGTCAGAGTCCCGCAAAAAAATGTCCTTACCTCGGACACACCACATCCAGTATACCTCTTATTGCTCTGGATGTTGCAGTTAGCCACACGCCACTTATTCCAGTCCGCCAACAACCCAGGCAATATTGGGTGAGAAAGCAATCCCTCGACATAAGAATAAAAAAAATATCAGCAGAGTCGCTGCCTAAATACTTCAGATGCTACTGTCACTCGACCGAGCGTGTGTCAGTGCCGGCGTGACCGTGCACGGGTGGTTTGCGGTGGGCGCTTACAAAGGCCTTCTCCCTCTGGCGCTCTCTCTGCTTGGCTCTCTCGATCTCGCGCTTCTCGTACTCCCGCCGGTGCTCCTCCCGCTTGCTCCGCTCATACTCGTCACACTCGTACCTGCAGGCGCAAGCGCACGCATTATGCACGCGTTCCGCACGCTCCCCCCCGCCCCCCCCCCCCCCGTCACCCCACCGTGTCGCGCCCTTTGTGTCGGGCTGACAGGTGGACGTCGATACCACGAGAGAGACGCGCAAGGGAACGCATGACTAAGGCCGTGCGCCGTCGGTTTTAGAGCGCCACGTGAAGTAAGGAAAGGAACGCGAAGAATCAGGAAGCAACAACGGGGCTTCAGCTGGGTCTGTTCGGGTGAACGAACAGTAAAATATTCATTGCACTCGGCACACCACGTCCAGTGTACCACTCGCTATGGTTGTGACTACAAGTTGCATCCTGTCTCTAGGCCCCAACTCGAATCTACCATCGACCCGAAAAATATGAATATTCAGTGTGAAATTAAGTGTGGAGAAGCGATGAGCGGAGAAGTGCTGCTGCTGCTGCTGTGCTTCACCTGCTTTGGTGCTGGTAGAGGAGCGTCTGGGAGGGAGGAGAGCCAAAGCGAGTCCAGCACGGGGATCCCGAGCGGCTCCGGTGGTGGAGGAACCTGCCGAGCGATGCGAGGCATGAGAACGACACGAGACGTGCGTGGCCCCCCGCGGACACGCACACTGACATTGGTGGGCAGTGGTGATTCTCACCTGGAATGTGCCCCCCTAAATGAACAGCGGCGGTCTCCCCTGCCGCCGTGCGGCCCCGTCATGATCCGAACCGATGCTTTTATTCTCGATGCCGAGATTTTCTATGAATTAAGCACGAGCCCAGATCCCGAGACTGAGTGTTTTCGTGCAGCCAATGGTGGGCCAAGCTGAGGCCGCTACAGGGAGGCCCGGTTTCATCAGTAAGCAGCTATCAGGACTCGGGCCCGGGATCATGGCCGTGCCGGCTCAGCGCTCTGACCTCCGAGCCGCCCGGTCGGTCACCTTCGATGAGTTCGAGTTCATAGATGCCACACCTCGCCGTCGCTTTCGTCCCCCTGCCATATCCCATGGCATCTGCAACGTCGACACCTGCCCTCCAAGGTCTGCTCTTACAGTCCTCGAGGTGCAGTTGCAATTGGATGCTACACAAAGCCAAATTGCACTGCTGTTGTATAAAAAAAATATATTTTTTATTTAATCTCAATCCGGCTGCCCCAGAGCCCCCCCCCCCTGTCTGGCAGAGACAGGGGGGGGAGGCTCTGGCGGGGGTGTCGGGGTGGGGGAGGGGTGGGTGAGAGGAAGAGTGGGGCGGTCGTACCTGCCATACGCTGGCGGCGATCCTGAGCGGGAGCGCGAGCGGTCGTGCCCGTGGGCGCGCGCCTGCAGCGGGGAGGACGGCGACGACATCACGAAGGGCGGCGAGTCGCGGCACGGGGGGCTGGCCGCCGGGGAGCCCGGCTGCGAGCCCCACCCTCCGCCGCCGGCGCCGGGGGACGGCCCCTCCCGCCCCCCGGCGCGGCGACGCTCGCGTCTGCCCCCGCCCCGTGCGTCGATCCCCTCCTCTCCGTCGCTGCCGCAACCCGCCGGGCTCTTGCACATCGAGTTCCGGCGAGACACGGGGGCCGAGCGGCTCTCCCGGCCGGGCTCGGGCCGCGCCGGCACACAGGGCGGCTGCGGAGGCGGCGGCGCCGTCTTCCCCGATCGGTGGAGCTTCTCGGCGTCGCCCTCCTCCAGGTCCTCGTCGTCCGAGTCGAAGACGCCCGAGGAGGACGAGGAGGAGCACTGGGAGAGGCGCTCGCCGTCGTACGTCCGCCGGGCGGCAGCCTCCTCCGCCGCCTCGCAGCTCTCCGCCGAGACCTCAGAGTGCAGCGAGTCCTGACGCGCACGCGGGTGCCGCCTGCCTCGCCCACGGCTGCGGCGCCGGCGCCGCCGCGAGCGTCTGCGCCGGCGCCGCCGCCGGAGCCGGCGTCGCCGCGAGCACGGGTGCGGGCGCCGCCGGCGTCGGCCGCCGCTGGTACTGCCGATGGTGCACGTGGCCGGCGTGCGGAGGAGCGATCAGGACGCACTGCGGCGCCGCTGTCGCCGCCTGGCAGTAGTCGTGGTCGCCGAAGAGGCGCGGGCTCGGCTTCTTGCCGACACGCCGCTCCCCGCCGGCGCCCTGCCCTGCCGGCTTGCCCACCATGGCCTTGCGAAGCTGGGCGTACAGCTCGCTCTGCTCCAGCACCCGCCCGCCGGCCCCGCCGGCCGCGCCGCCGGCGCACGCCACCACCAGGGAGCCGCGCACGCGCTTGGCGGCGCCGCTCTCGCAGCGGCTGAGCGCCGGCTGCTTGTGTTTGCTGGCGCGGAAGGACAGGAGCGAGTCCAGGTGCTGCTGCTTATGTGGCGGTGTGGTGGGCGGCGTTAGTCCTGGAGCCGGAGAGGGAACGGGTGGCACAATATAGAGAAATTAATAAATATCCATCACCGCGATCGGTGGGGGACACTCGTGCAGCCACACCGGTGGCCACGTTTGTGTTTCACGAGCGTGGTAGAGCCCCGGGCGGCTGAAACGCAGACCTTTGGCACGGTGGGGAGCACAGTTGGTGCATCTGTCAACCCATGGCACCTGCTGGGTCTGTTCCGTGACCTACACTGTGAGGTCACTTCAGGTGGCCTCAAGGAACACCTAGCATGGCACAAGGGCCGTGGGTCACGTCGCCGCCTCTTCGTGGTGACGTTGGTCGTTTTTGTTGGTGTCTCTAGGTGTCTGTCTGTGTGTATGGTGGTAATCGTTTGACGCGAGGATATGCTCCGTGACAATTATGAATAATGGATGCCATTAGCTCAGTTCGGCAAAATAATAATATTTTAAAACTCGTTAAATTCGGGAGCAAAATAAAGTTCATGTAAATATTTGCTGTAACAGATCCCCGATGCTCGCAACGGTACAATAAACAATTCTGACTGAAGCACTTGTTTTCCTTACAAAATTATTCACGGTGTGGTTGCATGCCTCTTGGTACAGGTGCGAACGTGGACATTTGTTCCTCAGCAAAATTCTCACACCACTACAACTTGACTTGCCTCCACCATTCGTTTTAGGGGGGTGCAGGGGGCTAAATCAGCAAATTCCCTTCCGTCGTCATCACGACAAAAAAAATCGCTGGAAGCAACTCCACCAAACTCGTTCTCTGTCTCGTCATCTCTCAACGAGGTGCCCACCCAGGGTTCACGGGGTCAAGTCCATGGCTCTAGCTCCCCCCCAGCCCCCCCACCCAGGCCCCCTTGCCCCCAAACCGGGGTCCCGCATGATCCACCGCTGCCCCCTTGCACCGCCGCATGTGGCAGCCGCGATGAGGGCACGGTGGGTGAAGGTGACCCTCTCCTTTGCCATCCTCGGCAAAATCAGCGGACGAGGTATGACATCACACCCCAGTCTGACTAATTAACCAGGGTTAATTAGGTAAGTGTCAATACATTGCCCCAATTAATCCAGGTTAAATAATTGATTGATTCATTCATTAATTGTGCTTGTGCACAGCTGCAAACGCAGTATCCCAAGTTTTGTTGTTAAAAATGCAACAGTTCATTCATTCTTCGAACGTTACCGCCAACGGTAGCGCCTCTAGTGGCTGCAGGGGTCACGTGATCGCATCGCATACGACTCGGGCAGCATCGCAAAACACCGGCGGGCGCGCGGGGGTGAATCGACCTTCCACCCTCCCTCGTTTCGCCCACCACCACCGTCATCACCACCACCATCATCACCACCATCACCACCACCACCACCATCATCATCATCACCACCACCATCACCGTCATCACCACCACCACCATAACCACCATCATCATCACCACCACCATCATCACCATCACTACCACCATCATCATCATCATCACTACCATCAGCACCACCATCATCACCACCATCACCACCACCATCACCGTCATCACCACCGTCATCATCATCACCACCACCATCATCATCACCACCATCACCACCACCATCACCACCATCATCATCACCATCACCACCACCATCACCACCACCACCATCACCACCACCATCATAATCACCATCACCACCACCATCATCATCACCACCATCACCACCACCATCACCACCACCATCACCACCATCACCATCATCACCACCATCACCACCACCATCACCACCACCACCATCACCACCATCGTCGTGTGGACCCCTTCACCACTCTTGGAGCACGGGGCAGTGGGGTGGCTGGTGGGGAGGGGGGGTGGTGTTAGGCTGGAGTTGAGGGGGGGTGCAGGACCCGGTAAATCTACCGGGTTAGCGTTTACATTTTCCACGCCATGGCAACGCGAGCCGAGGCGATTAGTGCCATAAATAAACTATTAAATAAATAATGCGCTCGTGCACTCGCTCCGTACAAAAGGGAGCAACGTCTTTCAATTCACATTGTCGCCCCCCGCCGCCCCCCCCCCCCGCCACCTCTTCTCCGGCACCCTGCGGTGGAGTACATCGGGTGGGGGGGGGGGCAGGGGGGGGGCTATTTCGGTGCGGCATGTTAATGGTCGTGCCGGCGGTGGCACAGACACGTGCTCCGCTCCAACATTAGCCACCGGCGGCGCGGGATTCGTGGGGGGGGGGAATTCGGGTAGGGGGCACCCTGACTGACGGACGGACGAGAGTAGGCTACGAGTGGCGTGCGCAACGGATCAGCTGTTTGCCGGTCAGCTGCTGTCGGCGGAGGCCCTGGGAGCTCGTGCTGGGAGGGCAACGGCGAAATAATTAATGGGGGGGGGGGGGGGGGGGGGGGCAAAACAAATGAAAGATTTCGTGCAGGACACGCGCGCGAGAGAGAGAGAGAGAAGCCGCGGCGAGGCCACTCCCGGCAGCTGGCGTTTTGTTGAAGCGGCGGCTCTGCAACCCAGGGCCCTCCGCTGCACTCGAATTTGACTTTCACAATCGGAACAAGATGTTCCTTCTCCGTGGCAATAAACCACCGACGCGCGGAGGGGAAAGGGGACTTTGGGGAGGGCGGAGGGGAGGGGGGATGGAGCGCGTCTGACCAGCACGCATCGGAGGTCTGTTTAAAATAGTAGAGCGCCGTACGGGAGGAACCACCAATTCCGTCAGCCAGCCTCTTTCCCCCCCCCCCCCCATCCACCCGCCCCCCTCCCCCCCCACCTCTCTGGACCCACAGCCTGCCCCCCGCCCTCCCTGCCGATTATGCGAAATCCCCCCCCCGCCCCCCTCTCGTCCGCAGCCCCTGGCTGGGTCGCGTGGAGTTTTTTTTTATATATCTGGGACACAACAAACAGGGAGCACTAAGAGGGGGGGGGTTGCACTAAACAGGGGGGGCAGGGGTCAAGCCTTGGAGATCCTAAACCCCCCACCCCCCACCCTTCTCTGTGCATTTGCCCCTGGATGTGGTAACAGGAAGGAAGCGATCGCAAAGTGCGGCGGTGGCATCGATGGCACCCTCCGAGCTCTGTGACCTGCAGGTGAGTGCCTGTCCGCTCGGAAGGAGGGCCATGACCTGAAACGTCACCCACTAAACATATCCGTTTCCATTTCTAGGGCAATGCTCTTGCGACGGATGGCGTGCGCAGTGAGCTTTTGTTATTTGTGCCTCTGAATGAGCAGCACATGGGAGTGGGTGAAGACTATGGGGGGAAGGGGGAGGGGGGCATATTAATTGAGCGGGGCGGTGGAGGGGGGAGGCACGGTCCGCAGAATCGCTACCGCCCGCCGGCCGATCTTGCGCCACGCCGACCCCGCTTGGCACGTGGCCCTGGCTCGGCACAGCGCCGCTTCAGGTTCACCTCCCCCCCCCACTCCTGATCCGGAACGCGCCGGCCACCAATCCCATGAGCCCATGAGCCGTGCCCTCGGGTGAGCGGCCGAGGGCTCGCGGGGGCTGCACCGCTGGATGCGGCGGCCGACACTCGGAGCGGGCACCGCGGCGAGTGCTGTGCGAAGGCAAAGGTCCCCTGTGTAGCCCTCGCAGCGCGTGGGGGGCAAGTGCCGCCGGCGAGCGGCCACAGGGGCCGTCGCGGCGCACGTGGGGCACGGAGTTGAGCGTCGCGCGCTCCCGGCAAGACGTCGCCTCCGCGGTGCCGATGCCCGCGCACGCGACATCGTCAGTCGTCATCATCATCATCACGTGCTCACGTTCAGCGGCCAACTCAAATGCACGTTGTCGCAGATGCTGAGCGCATTGCCGAGAGGCCGGAAACGAGCAGCTCTATTGGAACGTGCAACGCGTGAAAGTGAATGTGTTACATGGATCAGCTCGGACGTAACGGGCCACCGCTCGCGTCGTCCACGGCCGGGCATCGAACCGAGGTCAGCGGGTTCGCAGCACCTCGCACGCGCCACTGCCGCCACCACCACCACCACTGCGCCCGAGGGTGCACGCGCGTGCCGAGAGCTAATTGCGCGCTGGTTATTTCTGAGCTCTCCCACAGGAAGCCGTTTGTCAGCCGCTCCCAGAAGGAGCCCGCTCACGGATCTCCCAGTGGCGCACGGCAGATGTGGCCCTCGATGCACTTGTCTTACACGCGCCGGCCGTGTCGCTCCGCACGAGGAATGCGACAGCTCCCCCCACCCACCCACCCACCCTTCCGACCCCCCCACCCCTGGGCAGAAAGGCCTATAGTCCAAAGGCAGGCGCGGGAACCCGAAGCGACAGGTGGAGGTTTCGGCGCCGGTAAGAGGAGGTCACCGGTTCTCATTTGAGGCAGAGGCGACCTAGAGGAGGCCCACTGATGTGTTTTTTTTTAAATCATCATCCACGGGCGGGAATAGAACCCACGTCTTGACGGGGCATGGTGGAAGCCGAGTGCGGGGAAGGTGAGTAGTTCTGTCGCCAGTGACCGGGTCTCTCCGCTATTGCTCTCCATCTCTCCATCTTGTCTCATCACATCTCATTATATTCCGCGTTAATATCTCGCTGCCTGCTCTAAATTCAGCCGATTTCCTTTCGATTCCAAATTATCTTTTCAAAACGCAACCGCTTTTAGATGTCCTATCTAGTCCGCATTTGTATTTGTGGCCAAATTTGACCACTTCACTCTGATGCTCATATTTTCATAATTTGTGTTGCTTTGCTTAAGCGGCATACATTCGAGATCAAACGTGCGATCTTCATGCAGGAGGCTCTTGTGCACGAGGCTACGCGCCTCGCGGCACTTCCAAGTGGGCGTCAAAGATCCCCCTGACGTCGTTCACAGGAGCGGGCCATCATCGTGTGCCGGCTTCACGGTCGAACTGTGTCGAATTCGAAAGTTTACCCGCAAATGATGCAAATCAGGAAATACGCAGTAGCAATCATCGCCCCCTACTGGAAGACGAATGGCTCAGGTGACCCTGGCAAATGAGAACTCACCATGCTCTCTTGCGTTCTGAAATGGTTAAACAAAATCAACTTCAACATTGTCCTTTTTAATCTCCTGCCAAAATCAAAGTTGACGATTACGACTTTGTCTCGACACCTTCCCCGCTCGCGATAACGATTGGCCGATTCTTTTGCCCCCCCCTCCCCCACCCCGCCTCTTACCACGCGTAAAGACGACCAAAAGCGCTACTTCTTAATTTTCGCGTTCAAGAAAGTTCTGCAACCTCGGCTGATTCCGGCGACTTGGGCCCATCGCTCTTGGCCGTGGCGTCCGCTCGCTAACGACGAGAGGCGGGGGTGGGGGGGGGGGAGGGTTGGTCGGCTCCCCGGGTTCTCCACCGCGCGGTCCAGCTGTGTCCCCAGCGATTACGCCTAGCACGCAAATTCGCGATTTCACAGATGTCACGGAATTCATAAAAATACCACGCGGTCCGCGGGATTCTCAAAAAAAAAACCTCATCGGATTATGAAAATGCATCTCTTTGTACACATTCGGAGGAAGAAAAAAACTGGATTATTTACACTGCATTTCAGGTGCCATGCATACTAAATTTCCCCTATTTAAAAATAAATAAATTGGTGTCTTTTTACAAAGCCTGAGCGAGGTAAAGGAAAATAAATCCGAAAACGGCGATGAGAATCCATCACCACGCGGGGCCGCCCATTGTGCCGCTCGGAGCCCCTTATCAGCCGCTGCCATTCACCATGGCCACCGCCATCGTTTCAGCGCCGCGTCTCCCACCACATCTCCCACCGGCGTCTCGCGCCGTCGCGTGCTCGGCGGGGCCGGCCGCCCCCCCGGTGCCGGCCACGGCCGCGCATGCCACCACGACGCGGAAACCGACCGGTGGAAACAGGGCGCTCGCTCGCGCCAAAAATGCCTTTCCTTTTCGCGAGCGCTGGCCCATGAAAATGAAAGGCCGAGCACCCCATCGATTTGGAAGGCTTAGGGGGTTTCTGCCACCCGTGAACCATGATAACCACCATCAGCCTTTTAGACAAACACAAAAAAGACAAAGATCCCCCGTATAGCCTGAGCAGACTGTTGGGGCAAGTGCTGTTAGCAAGCACCTATGAAGGCCGGTATGACACACGAGGGGGTGGGTGGTCAACATCACGCACGGTCGCCTTAGGACAAACATACACACACACACATACACGCACACATACACACACACACACATACAATGGTAAAGGTTCCCCACGCAGCCAAACGGACTTTTGGAGCAAACGCTGATAAGAGAGCAACTATGAAGGCTGCCCTTCTCCTCGAATGCCGACGCTTTCACACCGTACCAGGTAATCATTTGAGGCTGAGTCGACCCAGGAGAAGCCATCATCAGTGGCAAGTGATGTCTGAACTGGTCTTGGGTCTCCCTTTGGTTGATGCAGCCTTTAAATGAGTACCAGGTGCTCATTTAAAGGCACTGGGGAAACATGGACGCGCCCAGCCGCCACGGCGCTGACCACACCACCGCGGCGCGAGTGGCGTGCTCGCCAACTCCACACGTACACACAGGCGTCCGTGCGCACACACAAGGCACACGCGCGCAGCCTACCGGCGGTGCTGGAGAGCTCCGCGCTTAGCGTCCTGTCCAAAGTTTTGTTTTCAAAGGAGGAGGAGAAGCTTTTGCCTTCCCTGCAACGGGAGAAGGGGCGGAGGAAGGAGTGGGAGAGAGGCGGGGGGGGGGGGGAGGTTTGATGAACGGCCCCCGGTAACGCGGCCGCTCAGCAAAAAAGCGAAACGATGGAGCGGTGAGCGCTGGGCAGTGGAGGGAGAATTTCCGCCACGGTCGGCAAGAAAGACAAACGGGGTGATCATGGCACTTACCCTGGGGAGTTGGGAGTGAGAGGCAAGGACAGGCTGGGTGCTTTGGCTGAAACAAAAACACACACACACAAAAGAGGGAAGATAAATGCAAAAACTAAAAAAAAGATGTTAAGAAAAATAAAGCAAAAATGCGGGGGGGGGGGGCGGGGGGGGGAACAAAAATGCAAATTATAATTAAAAAAATAATTATGAGCTCAGCAACAGATGGCTGTTATTGTAACGTGGAGAAAATGAAAACATTAGCGAAATAAAATTTAAAAAACGAAAAAAACCGTGAATAAAGAGAGAGAGAGAGAGAAAGAATAGAGTGAAACTCCAACTCAAAGCAACACCGCTGAAATTCCGCGAGGATGGCCGCCGGCAGGAGCGGCGCCGGCGCTAGGCTAGGGAGGGGCCCGCACCCTCTCTGTACGTGAGTCTCGCCGCCTGGGTCGCCTGGGGCTGCGTGGCCGTGGCCGTGGCCGCCGCCGCCGCCTTCTTCTTCGGCCGGCCACCCCCCCGGGTGGCCCGAGTTTCAGAGTGCGAGGGCGAGGGGTCCTCGTCCGTGCACAGGTAGCGCAGCAGCTCCGTGCAGTTTGGCGCTGACCTCCCGCTCAGCAGAGGCTTTGGCTGCGACGACAGAGGGAGGGGAGGGGAGGGTGGGAGGGAGGGAGGGATGGAATATTATTCGTCTTCATCGCGATCGTCAATGTATCGAAACGATTTGTCTTGAATAAATCGGTAAATATCTTGAATGCACGAGAGTAAAAGCAGAGACTCTCCTGTGTGCGACTGTGGCGAGGCATTTGCCAAATATAAATGTGAATGTGGTTTGTGAAGCTGGTTGGTGAGCGAGTGGATGAGTGAGTGGGTGGGTGAGTGATTCGATGAGTGGGTTGATGGGTGGGTGAATAGGTGAGTGAGTGGTTTAGTGAGTGAGTGGGTGGGCGCGTTGATGGGTGTGCGAGTGGTTGCGTGAGTGATTGGATGAATGGCTGGGTGGGTGGCTGTACCATATAAGCAATTAACCAACTCTCAGACAAAGCAAATGAATGGCTACATCACTCACAGCTGAACCAGTAATCGTTTCTCTGCAACGATTAGGTCGTACGAAACAGGAAGATGATTTCCGCATACAGAGTCGAGATTCGTTACATTTTTAATGTCCTTAAATATTCTATTGTATTCTAAATTGCTTAATATAACCCAGGTTGCCTTTACAAAAAAGGGGCGATGTATTACACGCCTCAACGGGCCTCGTTGCATGTACAGTCCTCCATAAAAAAAAAGTAAGCAAAGCGATTCTTGTTGTGGCAGCTGGTTTATGGGAACTCGCCAAACCGAGGTCGTGGTATGAGGTTCGAGTTTGGCCGGGGTGGCCACCTCCTGGTCCTGGTCTTCCCAGGACCGTCCTCGTGTCCAGGCAGCAGCGGTTTGCGCTGGGATATCTGCGAGTCCTCCCGGCGACATTCAACTTATTTGCCAGTTGCGTAGCGGATAGCAAGAGTCCACCACGTGAGACGATTAATGTACACGCGGATCTCCTCATGCCGCTCTTGTAAAGATACTCTTCTCCGTCCTCCCAAGATACACGTGCCGTTCATCGTCACCGTTATTATTGTAGCTCAAGAGGAGGAGGTGGCAACCGTCGCCAAGGCAGAGGGAACACGTGCAGAATAATGGTTAATCGGGTCCTCGACTCATTAATCGGGAACGTGGGTCCGCTCGTTAACGCAACAGAATGTCGTGGATCGCTCGCCCCAGTTACACAGCAGGCGCCAACACCTCCCCCCCCGCCCCCCTGATCCTTGTGCTGGTACAACCCATTCTGTTGCATGTTACTTTGATTAATTCATTCATGAAAATATTTCACGTGGACAATCCCCCCGAGATGGAAAACGTCTCAGTCACAGGGGTGTCCAGGGTATCCAGTGACGCAAGAGTGCATGCCCCCACCACCCCTCCCCACCCCGTCCTCCATCGCCCCCTACCCCCCCTCCACCCCCTGCCGATCCTCCCTCCTATCCCCAACCCCGCCAGCAATCATAGCCCGCACGAGGGTGGTGAGTAATGTTTTTTTTCCATAACCCCCTGCGAGCGAGGAACGGGCGTACGGGCTGAGGCCGAATTCAATCGTGCGATCAGCACGAGAGGGCGACCGCGTTTTAATGACGCGCGCTTGCGCTCGCTGTAGATTATTTGGCAATTCCAGATCGTATCGAATTCCACCGCAACTCAATGCGTGGATTTTTTGATTCGACGTAAAAACCGAAAACAACGCGTGGGAAAGCTTTGGAGGCGATTCGCCTTTTGACAGCAGTGGCTGTATTTTGCGGGCAGCGCTCGTCACGTGGACAATCACTGCCGCCGTCATGGGAATTTCCGCCACTGCCTCAGCGCTGACGAAAGAGATGAGCGCGGCCGCGTTGTGACGCTGGAACTGGGTCAAATGATCCCAATTGCGGGCCGCTCTTGCAAAGCAAGTCTTGAGACCCGGCGAGGCTTGCAAACGCTCCGCGTGTGTCACCTGTCGGCATCGTCGACAGGTGACACTTGTGCAGCGGCGTGCCTCGCCACCCCAGGCCCTCCCGTGGGCATCGCGGCGCACGGTGCCACCGGTCCACCGCGGGCACGGTGGGGCGCAGACCCACGCCCGGGCGACAGCCTTCGCCAGAACCCTCCCCCACACCCCCCTCCCGTGTCACTGCGGTGGCGGTCCCGGGCCGGGTCGCTCACCTTGAGGGGCAGAGGCAGCTTGTGGGGCCTGACGGCGGCTTGGGCGGAGGAGGAGGAGGAGGAGGCGGCGGCGGCGGCGGCGCCGGAGCCGCCGCCGCGGCAGCGCACGCTGCCCCCCACGCGGTGCTCGTAGCTGAGCTGCGTGTTCGCGGGCGCCAGCAGCAACTTCTTCAGCTGCGCGGGGGGAGGGAGTGAGAGAGGAAGAGAGGGAGAAGACACACAGTTGGGTTTTCATTGCAGAGCCGGAGTCCGCATTGAGAGTACGGTACGAAGGTTAAAGGTGCAGACATACCCCTGGGGAGGGTTTGCTGTTTTACTGCTCCACACTGACCACACGGCTGAGAGGGAGCTGCGATGGTGCAAGCTACTAGTGCCAGAGTCTCTTTCGAGCGATTTCTTTTATTCCTCAAAATCAGCGCTGACCATGCTCTAAGCGCGCTGGGACAATGTGGCCACTTCAGGAATCGCTCTCCTCCATGCGGCCTCGCGATACCAATCTTCGGCTCCGGAAGCCACAACTAAGTAAATGCCACGTCAATCCCAGGATCCGGACGCCCCGGAAGCTCCCACGAACCCTCACGGCTGCCCGCCGCCACCCTCCATCGTGCCCCCCTCCGTCGCTCTCACCAGCGACGGCTCCTGCTGCTGCTTCTCCTCCAACTCCTGCCACTCGTCGCCCTCCCCCTCCTCCTCCTCCTCCTCCTCGGCCGGGGTGTCCGCCGTCTCCGCGGCGATGGGCCGCGCGGCGGCCACCAGGGTGTGCAGCGAGGCCATCTCGTCGTCGTCGCCGCCGCTGCTGCCGCCGTCGCCGCACGCCCCTCCCGCCGGGCTGCACGCCAGGCCGCCGATGCCGTCCAGGCAAGAGATGCCATCGATGCTGCTCAGTCCCTCGGCGAGCGCCGCGAGGAGCGAGTCCTCCGTGTCGTCGTCGGACTTGTCCTGATGCGGGGGGGAGGTGGGGGGGGGTGGACACAACGTGGGGGGAGGGCGAGAGATTAATTTTATGCATTCACGGTGGGGGGGGGGGGGGGGGGTTCCTGCCGCGGTGCGGCTCTTTAGGGATCTTGGCTCGCTGCACCTGTGTGAGCCAGAGACGGCAGCTTCCAGCAAATGCCCCGGCGCGGCAGTTGAAATGATGGCGCGTGTTTCTTGATTCTAACCCACCACCGCCACCACCACCACCACCACCGCGGTGCTCTGTCTACCCAGTGTGGTGTAAATAGGCACAGCACAGTTTGTCCATAGGCGTGGGCCATTTGCGGTTGGGCAGAGTGCGGGTCCTCCCACCTCTTCCAAGACGTCTGGCAAGTGTGTAAAAGGAAGCCAAATACATTTTAGAGGGGGGCTCTACAGCACTTTCTCCTTTTATTTATTCAAGGCCTTCATCTAGCAGTGGATTGAGATGTGAACTCTAGATCACGTACGTATTTACCCCGAGCCTCACGACTGCGTGGAAGGGGTCCCCCGCATTCCAATGCTCTTTCCCGTCGCCAACTCAACGCGCGTCGCGGCCGCCGCTACTGCCACCTGGAGACGCCTCCCGGCTCGCAGCAGGGAGCGGACATCCCGAGGCCACTACCGGATTTTGTCAACGCAGATCATCATCCTTCGAGGGCGGTTAAAATGACCACTGATTCGCGGGAAGAGGAGCAGCAGCAGCAGCGGCACGACCGCTGACGATCTGCAACCATTTGGCGCGGGCGGATGCAGCGTCCACAGGTCCCACACTGGGCAGAGTTGCGAGCGGCGACGGCTGGAGCCGCATGAGCCAGTGACACTGGGCGGACCGAACACCAAGTCAAATTTGTGGGAGGTTAAAAGTGGTCGCCAGAGATTCATTTTCTCACTCGGTATTTGAACGAAACCCTTCGAGGCTGGCTTGTAATAGGGGTTTTCGGCGTAAGGCATTACCCCTGGAGTACACGCTACACTTATCTATTAGAATCGTGTCATTACTCTACCCTGTATTCTTACGATCTAATGAACACGTTTATAAAAATGACGAGGTCAAATAAGATGAGATGGATGTGGCACACCATAATAATTTCCGGAAACAGCGTTCCGGATGTAAGCACTGGGGTCACCTTATAAACAGTGCCCTCAACCTCCATCTTCACCAATCATCACCAGCAGCAGCACTGCTAAGTGAAAGTGTCAGCACCGACTCGGGGCCCTTGCGCAAGGTGAACGCCACACACGCACGTTAGATGGCACATCCCCTTCGACCATCAAGCGAGAGTTTCCACCGCATCATCTGTCATCCTCATCATCGCGGGGCAGGGGCCCCGTGCCCAGCACCCGCGAAGAAGCGAGCGCACCCCGCACGGAAAACCCCAAACCCTCCTCGCCCTTGCCACGCGTGCCACCTCTCTTTGCACACCGTCGGTTGAATCGCTGTCGTGACTTTTAAACGCCTTTCAGATGATTTAAGGCTGCACACCCCCCAGCCACCCCTCCTCCCCACGCCCCCACCGCTCCGCTGCTTGCATCTCGCTCGGGTGTTCGCGACGGGCTCGGGCGTGTGCGGGCGTCGCAGCCTGGCTCTGGGCCAAAGCACACTGGGATTAAGACCCGGGGGGCGAAGACACGTAGAGGTCAGCCAACATTTCATCCGCCAGCAGACCTTCGCCACGTGCGAATCACCTGTGACCGCCCGCCTCGGGATTAAATCTCCCGGCAGAGCGGGGGGGAAGCGTGCGAGGGGGCGCCGATCCCGAAGGGTGCGGGGGTGGACGTGGCGGAGCTATCCCGTCGTGCGCGCTTGCCCGGCATGAACACCGTGGCGCTCATCCTCGCGGTTTCGCCAAACTGCGAGCGCGGCGATCGTGCAGAGCGAACAGCGCACGCACCGCAGCGGCGTAATTAATCCACGCGTTCCTACGTAATGATCTTGGACTTGTCGCTTTCTGCCGAGATAATGAGCTAATATTGTTCGTTGCTGCGTTATTACCTTTTGAGTGTCTCCGTGACGTTAGGAGCCTAATTACCGCTAAGGGCTCATTAATGCGTACACCATTGTTCATCACTTACCCAAACAGCGATCCCGACAACGGCGTGGTGCGTGAGAATTAATACGACGCAAGCCATCTCGGCGAATTTGAATTTAGATTCGAGGTTTAATGTTTGCGTCACGCGTAATTGACGCAGCCGAGCGGGCGCGGGTGAGAGGGCCGAGGCCACGGCAGCTACGGCGGCCGTGCTGCGGCAGTTGGCACGTGCAGGAGGGCATTAGCGGTCGCCCTACAATCCCCACGTAATCCACCTGCCACCGCCCCTGCCGCACACGGGTTCGACTCGCACTGCATGCACACCACAACGAAAAACAATTGATGGCCTGACCCCCGCCATTCCCCGTGCACACGTAATAATACAAAGACAAAGATTCCCCGTATATCCTTATCAGATTGTTGGGGCAATTGCTGCTAGCGAGTACCTGTGATGGCCAAAACCAGCGCACACCGGAGGGTAGCGTGGTCAGCATCACGCCCGGTCGTCTGTACCTATCGAGTACTGTACTGATGTTTCCACACCGCACAGGATACCAATTTAAGGCTGAATCGACCTAGGAGAGGTCCAAGAGCGGTTCGTCACTGATGTCGGCTATGAGTGGGATTCGCCCTCGGGTCACCGAGTGCATAGCGAAGTGCGCTCACCACTTCACTGGCGCTATCCATCCCCTGTGCAGCCTAACACAAGCTCTCGGGGCAAATGCTGTTCGTGAGCAGCTACCACACATACCACATACACACGATGCTGTGTATTTCTATAGCGGCGCCTATAATGCAAATGCATCGTCTCGATGCAGATAGGCAGTGTGTGCATGTAGAGGCAGGGTGAAGGATTAACGTCTGGAGTATATACATGAACAGGGACATAGACACACACACACAGACACGTGCACACACACGCAATCCGGATGGGTGGCTCAGTGATTGAACGGAAAGGTTGCGCATTCTAATCCTGATTGCGCGTCCCAATCTCTCCGGGGCTGATAAAATGTGCCCCTTTATGGGGAAGTCGGCAGTCGTTGTCCAATGGATAGACTTACCTCTGCCATAAGAACGTGTAATTTCCACCAATGGTTTGGGGTTGTAAACAGGAGATGAGCAGGAAATCACTGTGATTTGTTTTGTTAACACACACGCATAACGAGACAGAGGTCTCCGCTTCATGGACGCACACACACGAAGCGAGACAAAGACCCCACGCATATAGCTTTTAACAGACTGATGGGGCACGTTCTGTCAGCGAGCACTTAAGGCCGGCACGGCACACGAGAGGGTGGGTGGCGAGCACCACCTCCAATACAAATGAACGTACTCACACTGACAGTCACACACCACACACACAAGCACGCGGGCACCACTCAGACACGCGCACGGTGGTGATTTCATGGCCACGAAAGCCCTTTCACTCAGAGAAACCCTTAATGGGGGCACAGAGCACATTCCCCTCGTTACGTAACTGGAGCCCCATGCGCGCACAATGCAAACGGCCCTTTAATTAATTCAGTGGGAAAAACAAACTAAATAATAAACCTCGCATTATCTCAGAGGCAGAGCCCGGGCTGTGTCGCCTTCGTCAGTGGAGGATCCGGTGGGGGTTACGTTAGAAAGCAAGTACCATCCAGCCTCCCTATGCCCTCAGTGGAAGTACAATGAATGTTATATATTTTTTATTAATGTAAAAAGTTGAAATTTTGGGAGGCCCTCCCACCTTGGAAACTTGCCATATCCGCCTCTGGCCTCAAGGTGAGATCAGATTGGTGAGGAGGAATGGGTGAGCGCCAAAGTTTGACTTCTATATTTGGGAAGGCAGGAGTTCACTTTGTCCCTCACATTAAGATTCGCGGGTGAGTATCATTTATTATTTTTTTTATCTTAATCGTAAACTACTGAAAATAAATCAGTATAGGTGTCCTGTTTGGGAGGGGCATTGCCCCCTGTGCCCCCCACCCCCCGCAAGATCCACCCATGGTGAGCACCCTGGGTGAAGAGCAGGGCCCAGCAGAACTGCTCATCGTGCGGTTGTACCCATGGATGTGGTAGCAACTGGCATGTAGGGCGTCCTGGAGCGTCAGGACATCAATGTTATGGGCATCATTATGATCGCGAGATACTCGCACTTCACCCGGGCGAGTCCCTTGGTGAAGATCCTTGTCCCAGGTCCTATCTGGCGCATTGTTTGGTCCTGAAGAGGGTAGTTGGCGTGGCTTGTGGTGTTGCTCTGGAGACCGGGAGATCGGTGATCCATGATCAGTCGCCGCATTGACGGAATTCGTTGTGATTTCTCACTGAACAGAGTGGGCCGCATGAAGGCTGCCATCTTCCACTCCGCCAGGAGAACTAAGCTCATGGAGCAGCCACTTCCAACCGGATTCACCGACATAGATGTCCCCTCTAGCCACTCGGACCACCCGTACACGTGAAAATTTCGGTCACAATTTGGCCAACCAAGCCAGAACCGTGCACATTGTTGTCCAAGCTTGGCTACTTTATGGCCAGATCCAAAGACAATGAAATGGAACATCTGGCCAATCTTGACAGCTCATAGGCTATGTTATTATCACAGAGATCTCCTCCACCAATGGAGAATTTGTGAATAACCCACCACCACGTGACTGGGGTAACCAATAGACATTCTACAAACGCACAGGGTAATGCGTTGGCCCAGTGGTAAGCCCAATAGACGCAGTGTCCTGAGTTTAATTTCTGGCCACAGCTAACATCAGTGGCCAGTGATATCTGAATCACTGCTGCCTCACCCCCCAATTTTGATTAAACCCATAATGATGAACATAGGGGACTATGGTCGAACAAGCCCCGTGACCAATTTGGTGTGGGGAGACATTCCTTCAACAGTCGATTGATCAAGGGGTTCTAAGCAATGCATCCAAAATTGCGAATTCGATTTGTGAAGTGAGATGTCACCTGCCAACG